ACACACACACAAACACACACACACACACACATACACCACACACACACACACACACACACACACACACACACACACACACACACACACACACACACACACACACACACACACACACACACACACACACACATGCACACACACACACACAAACACACACACACACACACACACACACATACACCACACACACACACACACACACACACACACACACACACACACACACACACACACACACACACACACACACACACACACACACACACACACACACACACACACACACACACACACACACACACACACACACACACACACACACACACACCTTCCTTCCTTCCTTGTACCACTGCCGTGTCCAGCTACTAGTCTGTGACCCTCAACCCCCCCGGGGGCAGACTCGGATTTGTGCTGTCCATCAGGGCGCTTGCCGGGAGTGTATTATCGCGTTACATTTGTGGCGACTCTCATCCTGCCGTCGACGAAAACTACGGTGGCATACCGGGCATTGGAACAGCTTCGTTACCGGTTGGGTCCTGATGTTGACGATGTGCTCAACGCCGCCACGGCACCTCAGATGCCATTCCTCCCTGTCCCGGGCGATGTAATTGAAGTTGTCAACTGGAATGCCGATGGAGGTAAGGTCGGCCTTTGCAACATCCTTCCATCGCTTCCTGGGGGCCATGAGGCGGGCGCTTAGCTGGCAGGGCGCCGTACAAGGCGTACATCAGCTGCAGCGGAATGTGATTTCCCATCCGAGCAACGTGTCCCAGCCACCGGAGCCGGCGCCTCTGCACCATATCGACGACTCGATATGCTCAAGGTCACCCCACTTGCATGCAACGAACCTGGAGGGAAGAGATTCGGTCGGTGATCTGCCGTCCCCGATCCACCTTCAGTATTGACCTTATCATTGCAGGTGAAATGACTCAAGCTTCCGTAAGTCCCTCTGTCTCAGCGTCCAATTCTCTGAGCCGTACTAGGCTGAAAAACGCACCCAAGGCAGCAGCGACTCGCCGCGATACATCGAAGGTGCTCCGAGCATCGGGTGTAACCTGGCATCCTAGATAGCGGAATGCATCAACACACTATATTGTGCCATCTAAAGGAGCTCTGTCTGATGGCAATACTCCACTCCCGGCAGGCATATACTTAGTCTTTGCTGTGTTGACGGTCAAGCCAAAGGCTGTCGCGACTGTCTGGAAGGCAGAGAGTGCCCTCTAAGCTCCAACATAAGTGTTGGCAAGCAGCGCTGAGTCATCGGCAAATTGGCACTCAGTGATTCGAACCCAGGTGAGTTCCCTCAGCCTTGTGTTAAATAAACGATTCACTCGGTACTGGGAGATGTCAATCCCGATCTCCTCATCATCCGCAATCATATATAACATGCCACCCGGTATCGACAACAGCGACCATGTATAGATTGAGTAACACCGGCGCCATAGTGCAACCTTGGCGTAAGCCAGTTCCGACACGCGCGCGCGCGCACGCGCACACGCACACACACACACACACACACACACACACCTTGAACCTTGAACATGCCCATTGCCGATCGCAATGATAGCGAAGGGACTATCTGTTAGCTTTGCAGTACGGAGCGTGGCGCTTGAGATCCCCGGGACGACGGCAGACCTTTCCACATGCGCAGCGGAAGCCAGAGTCAGGATCAGGAGGGGCACGGGCGGGAGGACGACGATGAGCAATCTGCCTCCAGGCAGAGCGATCCTGGGCAGCATCAAACCAGCAGTCAGAAGGCACAGTGGGGCTGATAGAGCGGAGATCATCCACGATGACGTCACGCCACCGCTTGCGTGTACCATGGCGAGGGCGTGTTGCAGGGAGCTCCCCAAACAAAACTCGCTTCGGCATACGGTCGTCGTTCATCCGGCCAACATGGCCAAGCCAACGCAGTCGATAGTCCCGGATGATGTCCGCAACGTCACAGAAAATGCCGAGGGTTCTGGCCATGGTAGTGGACGTGACTCGGTTGTCCCACTGGTTCCGCCTGGATACGCCAACGATGATGCGAACACACTGGTGATGAAAGGTGTTGAGAGAGCGCAGGTCCGGTGCCTTCGGCGTCCACGTCTCTGCTCCGTACAGGAGGGTCGTCAGCACAAGGGCAATGTACACGCGGCGCCGACAGCGGAGAGATAACGACCGATTCTCAAACACTGGGACACGGAGACTGCCGAACGCACGCGAAGCCTTGGCGAGACGGGACTGAACATCATGCGAAGACTGCCCGTCCCGATGGATGACGCTGCCAAGGTACGTAAAACTGTCAACGGCCTCGATGGTGCTCTCACCAAGAGACACCACACACACACACACACACACACACACACACACACACACACACACACACACACACACACACACACACACACACACACACACACACACACCTGATCCTGGTAAACACTGCCATTGCGGTCACGTGTCCCCTTGCGTGGCCGGCAACATGGAACGACGAATGGCGGCAGAAAGTCGGCGATCTGTCGAGGGGTCAGGGACCATGTTCAATTGACACCACGAGAGAGCCATCTCCGGCTGCTATGGATTTGAAAGCCACGAGTAGAGCGGCAGCACCGGCCACAGGCCCCACAGTGGGCCTTGCAACATAAGAGATCGAGCCGGCACGCAGCGGCGGAGGAGTCGGCTGAGCAGCAATGGTGGACACCGCTGTTCGGCATGGAGCTTGAGACGGTGCCGCGGAGAGCACCTGGAAGATGGGGCACTTGTGGACCGCCAAACCTCCAGCACTGCAGAACGGCAGCGCTGGCAGGCAGAACATTGTCGGCTACCTCTCTGTTCCGATACAGGTTTGCAGCGCTCGCCTAGGCATTTGTGACGAGGCAAACCACTCCTGAAGAAGAGATGACCACACTCGGCACAAGGCACCCGCAGAGGCGCACAAACGGGTTCGGGCGGGTGCAGAACATTGTAAGCGGCCCGCCATTCCCGTCTATCCTCGGCCAAGTCGTGCCATTTGTCGATGCCCAACACTGCCAGATCCCTCCGCGCAGCATCACGCCACCTTTTCCTCGGGCCGCACATCGGACGGACACACACACACACACACACACACACACACACACACACACACACATACCATGTACCCCCCCCCCCCACACACACACATACGCACACACACCATGTACCATGTACACGCCCGTCGCGTGAGAAGTACGCAAGTCTGCAAATGCAGTGGGAAAACACGGCTGGTACATAGCTCGGCCCCTTAAAAATCCAGACAAGCAGGCCATGCTCCGGGACCAGAACGGGGCGGACAAAACTATTATTATACTGCCAGCCGGCAGGCAGGATCAAGCACAGCTGATGCCTTCTTCAACAGACCCAGTCGCTGAGTGGCACGATCTGACTTGTTCAGGAAGGTCAGTTGGCCACCAAAAGTAACACCAAGAGTCCATGGACTCTTGGTAACACGAGCAGCTTCGGGCATTGCGTTTCAGACACTGTTTCCCCTTGGAAGGTAACTAGTGGACAGTTCCAGGGCCGTCGGTGGTGTCCGATGTGGAGTAGGCAGTAGTTGCGACTTTGCGGCTTGAATGAAACTCACCAGGTAACAGGTTGCTCAGTCTGCCACTGCAGTCGCGAGTACAGTATAGTCGGCACATTCAGCTTCTAGGTTGCCATGGTACTGGATGCATGTGTAAAGCGTGGCGTCATCGGCATATGTAGCAAGGCTGGTCGAGAGGGGAAGGTGATCTTCCACATAAGGAATAGACGGTGGGACCGAGTATGCTCCCTTGAGGGACACCAGCCTTGATGGCTTGCACCACTGAGGTTTGTACACCTACTAGATCTACAGCGCGGATGTGGCGACCCTGGAGGTAGTTCTGCAGCAGCTCAAGCAGCGAGTCAGTCACTTCAAGACAGTTGGCCTTATGAAGGACTCCATGGTGGGAAACTTTAAAAACGCCCCGGCCACGTCGACAGCAATAACTCTTGTCATGCCTCCACCGTCCAGCGCTGGATGTGCGACTCCACTAATGTTGGAGTGAGAGGAGGAGGAGGTCAGTTGTTCCAAGGCCACGTCGAAACCCTAATTGACGATCAGACAGAATGCTGCTCCTGTCCAGGAAGTTGGTGATACTGCGGTTACTGATTGTCTCCATCACCTTGGAGAGTACAGAGAGAAGTGATATGGGACGGTAATTCTTTGGGGAGGACTTGAAGTCTTTCTTGTACACAGGGACGACATGGGCAATCTTCCAGGAAGCGGGTTGTACTCCGTCTTTGAAGCATTGGGTAACGAGCTTTGAAAGAGGTCTAGCCAAGGATTGAGCTGACATCTTCAGCACTCGGGCCGGGATACAGATCTATGCACGACCAAGAGTACAAAAGTCAATGTCATTGAATGTAATAATTGTACTCCCTTGGCTGCCAAGATAAAAGCGATGGGTTTCACCTAATGTTACTTTCAAGTCTATCCCTGCGCGTCCTCTTACATCCCTAAATCCCAATTTGCGCATGAGGAACAGAAGGAAAAAGGTTTATGGTGAGCGGATCTGGTGGGTGGAGCCAGGGAGGAGCCAGGGAGGAGCCAGGGAGGGGCAGCTACTCTGCATTACCATTGGCATAGGTCTTCCCCTCTGGGGTTGGCAAGGAGGCCACGGAGATTGTGTTGAAACGTCTCGTAACTCACCCGACATCGGTGAGAGAGAGAGAGAGAGAGAGAGAGAGAGAGAGAGAGAGAGAGAGAGAGAGAGAGAGAGAGAGAGAGAGAGAGAGAGAGAGAGAGAGAGAGAGAGAGAGAGAGAGAGAGAGAGAGAGAGCGTTGTCATGACACCCAGGTGGCTGTGACGTAGCATTTGTCAAGTCCTCGCCAGGTCCCCTGCCCCTGGACCTGGTTCCTCACTGACAATGACCATGATGACTGTCCTTCTCTCTTGACAGACAGTCGTGTTGCTTGTGGTCGTAGTCATGGTCAACTCCGCATTGTAGCGGCGGTAATCGAGGTCTTTTCGAATCAGTGGATGGAGTCGAGTCGGAAGATCATGTTACATAATTTATTTATAACACGTAGACTACTACAGTGTAGATCTACTGTGTAGTAATCACTGGAAAGGTTTTCGGAGTTAGGTGGTCGTCGTGTAGCCAGCGTGATCTCCCACGCATGGTCTGTGGGCTCACGAGCGTTAGGTTGGCTGAGTAACTGGTAACGCTGCTTGCCGACTGTTGGCATCCTCCACTCTCCAGACCCGAGGGAAGTAATTACTTCGGAAGACAGCGTCGTAGATCTACAGCCTGCCGAGAGAAAACGAAGAGTCACGGCTATTGATGAGCACAATGGCATCACAATTCTCCACGGGCAACGTCGTCAACGTCTTCTCCGCAATCTCGGTGTGTTTGATTGGCTTGGCGGGGGTAGCCAGCAGCGCCACCAGCGCCGCACCATTGCCTGAAGCCGACTGTAAGAGCCTGAATGCTGGCAAGTTGGCGACGCAAGTGTTTGCCAAGTCCAAAGCCACGCTCTTGCGGAACATCGGCGACCAACTGCTGAAGGATGGTCGGGAATACATGTACTCGACGTTGGCGGAGGACAAGACGGTGCTGCGACTTCATGCACGCAGCGACTCGTTTCTCTTTGTGGACCGAGTTCCTGAAAACGGTGAGAGATAGTGGGAGAAAGCACAGCTGGTGGCGCCCTGTCGATTTGCTCACTACAGTCACAGAGATCGCCTGTACAGAAGGTTGCATGCTTGAACATGTGCGGAAGGCGGAATACAGCGCAGTGACCAGGGTGACTCGGGAAGAGAATGTTCTCCTGCAAAGCGAAAGGGCATAGGAGGCTGCATGAAAGGAAAATCCTTCCCCGTTGTAGTGATTGTTTACCGGTTAGCATGGCAGATTTCTCGGCTCACAGTGCGGGACCCGTCAGCTAAGCGTAGGGTGAAGAATTTCATTGAAAAAGACTATCATTCTGTAGCTGTGTCGACGGTACTGCTGTACTGGTACATGCATTGCTTATGAATATGAATTGAAGAACGGTCTCGACGCTTCGCATTGAACTATCACTTCATTGACTGGTAGAAAACTACATGACATGTACATGTGTATTTGGTGGGCCATGGGACACCCATTCCAAATCACACTGCAAATCTGAATGGTTCGGATTTGCAGTGTGTGTTTGGAATGGGTGTCTAACCAAATCTTTTTCTGCTTGATGAGTTCGTGGTCAATATGCCTAGGTGTAGGTGCAGGACAGCTTGCATTGTACATACTTATACTAGTACATGTGTGTTGTTCAAGACGAGGCAAATCCGCTGTCACAGTCTTGGCAAATGAACCAATGACAATACAGTTACTGAGGCTGTAGCATGACCTGAAGAATATGGTCTCTGGTGTGGCACATTGCAAGAAAGACTATTGTTATTGCTCACTACACACAAATAGGGTCGATCCAGGTGTGCTGCTCGTAAGCCGAGTGTCGAATGCACAACTGTTCGGAGCAATATACACAAATCAAAGCCAACTTGAAGGGCTGCTTGGCTGTAACTTCAAGCCTTCACGTGTCATAGCGATCATCCGACAGAGGAGTGAATGCGGGTGAATGCAGCTGTCTCATGATTGCTAGGATGCGTCACAGTGAAACTTTAAGTCACAGCCAAACAGACACTCGCCTTCGTTATCGGTGTGAGTACTGCCTCATTATGATGTCGGGTTAATGGCGTTTTATCTCTTGTTGGAAACCAGTGGCCTGGTCGCAAGCCTCTGTTTGATCGAGAACAGTCTGTGTCCGGCTTCCCTCCTTCCTCTTCTGACCAGTTTAGATTTAGAGCCACAAGTTGAGAGAAAAGGAGGTGAGAAAGACCAGAAGGGGGGGTCAAGGAATGAGGGCGGATGTCCAATGTTCACCACCCGTCTCTGTGCTGCTGTCCTGTTTTCCGACAGATACGTGGTTTCTTCCCGCCTCGCTCGAATGCATTCGCAATCGACTTGTGTTTGCCGGCTTCTACACACTGACGAATGGCCCGGATTCTCTATTCGAGTCGACCTGCCCTGCAGATAAATTACAGTGTTCAGTGGAAGGCGAAGCCGACATGACCTTGAAGGTACATACTGGAACGGATTGTGCATGGGAGCAGGGCCTACCTGTGCATCCTAGGCCAGTGGTCTGACACTGATTGAGTTGCTGAGGGTACACAATGCATCTCGTGCAATAGGTCCATCACGGGTAAGGCTATCAGGCCTGTGATGGACTTATTGCACGGCACCTGTGAAGTGTTATCATGGATCGAGGCAGTGTTGAATTGAAGTATATGGACTATATTCATGTAATGAAGTTGATTGTTCCAACTAGGCTAAGTTTATATTCATGTGTGTCGAAGTCAAGAGACAGCAGGCTGTGTGGCCGCTGTGGCTTCAAGTTTACTGCTCAGAAGCAATCTTCGGAAAATGTTACTTTCTCTTCGAAGTAGACATGCCTGTTTGCATCTGTACAGTGTCTGTGTTGCTGGCGTGTTGACTTGACTTGCAGACTGGGAGAAAGACGGCCACTGTGACATTGAAGCCTGGAGACTGCTTGTATATTCCGCGCGGGTAGGTGGCTCGGGATTGGAAATAATATTTGACACTTCTTTGTCGTTTCGTGAGAGCTTGGACAATCCAGTTGTCCAGACAAGAAGGCAGCAATGCCTGTTCATTCTGGCGAAGTAAAATTAAATATACCAACCAACCAACTCCTGGTTGGATCGTGCCAGTCTAGCTAATAGCGTAGATGTGATGCCTTGCATAGAGTATGACAGTGCAATGCTGCTGCATAGATTCCGATGATGTGAGGCATGGCAATTTGCGCTGGGCATGATGTAGCCCCGGAACTGCTGTAATACTCATGAGTGTGGATTGACATCACTCCATAAGTACCTAGTTAGAGCCAATAGGGACCTTTCGCACCACGCGCACGGATACGAAACGAATGCTGATTCGTCACCTGGGTTTGAGGATTCGTCAGAGTCCCTGCGGAGAACTCGTTTTCACGAATGGAAGCCTCTTCATTCGTGGCGCGCTCCGAATCCGTCGGGTGCACATTTATTTGGATAGGTACACATGTTTTGCAAGGTACACATTTTTCCCTTGATTCCATGATCCATGCACGTGTGCGTGTAAAAACCCGTACGCCAAGCTACCGGCCGTATTCGTAGTTGCCATGCACATTTGCATGACGACTTGCGAAACCTGAAATCTGTTTTCAACGAAACGATTACGAGCCGAATCAAACTTTCGTTTCGCATTCGATTCGTAGCAAATGCGAAAGGTCCCTAGTGAGACCTTTGCGATGCTTGCCGCCGACACATGAACAAACAAAAAAGATCACGGTTCGCGTCGGAGGCCACATCCGCAGGAACGCCACCACCCTCTAGGATCAAGGCGCAGCTGCAGCTCCTAAGCGGTGGGAGACGAGCAGATCAGACCCACTACAAAGTGGTCAGCAGCACTTGAACCTGGTACCCTCTGTTTCTCAATCATGGTCTTAGACCATCCCATAGTAGTAGTATTCTTTTATTTATAGTGGAGAAACCAAAACAGGCAGATGCCTAATAACAATGGACCCACTGTGTAGGGTGGTGGAGGAGGAGGGGGGGGGGGGGGAGACATGGCTAATGGTAAATAGTTCCGGCGAAATAGAGCAGTTCCAGCACAGCTACAGAAACATGGGCGTAAAGCTAAAAGCAGGCAAGAATGTGTTGCAAAGCGCTTGACTCGAAGGCGGCCAGTTTGGTGACGCCTCGGATATCCGCATGGAGGGAATTCCAGAGAACTGCGCCAGCATGTGTCACCAATTTGGTAGAATGTGCAGAAGCAGCGGCAGGGACGATAAGCAGGTTACTGTTGCCTCCTCGAGTTCTTCATGACGAAAGAGGTAGAAAAAAAGTTGCAAACAATCTACTTCCTGAAGAATTTAGACAACGCCATAATTATAAAGCAGAGCAAGTTAAGTTGAATGGTAGCGCGCAAGGGAGAGACATGTACGAACTTACTATCTTTCGGGGGGGGGGGGGGGGGGCTGTCTTTCGGGGTGATAACCTCGGCAGTGGAAAGTGTATTTTTTATAGGGGGTACTAAGTCATTGGGAGAACTAGCTTACGGGGAAATACGGTATATCTCGAACATACACAACGAAGAGCAATGGACCCAGCACTGATCCTTGCGGAACACCACAGCTACTTGCGTAGGCAGCACTTTTGCTTGGGCCAATCTGGACGTACTGTTGACGATCGGTCAGGTAGTGGGCCATCTACTGCAGAGCAACGCCGCCTATGCCGAGAGCGTAGAGGTCACTAACTAGAGTCTGATGCTGCACTTTGTCGAAGGCTTTCGACATGTCTACAAAAGCGACTCCAGTGTAGAGGCGTGCCACTTGTGCCTGTTTAATTTGCTCTACCATTAACACTAGGGCATCAGAGGTGGAGTGGTGGCTACGAAAACCAAATTGTTCCATTGGTAGCAGATCTCGGCTCTCCAGAAAATCAGACAGTTGCTCATGAACAATCCGTTCAAGGATCTTGGAGACCACAGGCAGTAGGGAAACTGGTCTATAGTTCTCAGGTTGGCTGGGGTCACCGGCTTTGAACAGTGGGCGGATGCATGCCACTTTCATTGATTTTGGGAATTTCCCCTCCCTCCCCTCCCTCAGTGATCTGGGAATTTCCCCTCCCTCAGTGATCTGTTGAACAGCAAAGTCAGCGATGGGGCCAGCATATCCCTACTTGTACACAAACGGAGAAGGACAGTTGGTATACCATCGCTTCCAGTTGCTTTAGTTGAATTCACTGATTGCAGCAGCTTTCTGACCTTGGCTATAGATACTGGCTGAAACGAGTACAAGTTCATCCGTGGGGCAGCACCAGAGGGGATTCGGAGCACTGGTGGTCTTGTTTTATCGTCCACAATAGTCGCAAATACTGCAGATATCTCCTCTGCTGAGCACTGTGGTGGAGGGTTCACACGGACTTTTCCTGTCAGTTCTTTGATAACCTGCAAAGAGCGCCTAGGATTTCCTTCACATCGGCTGAATGTTGCTAAGTAGTGGGACCGCTTCTTCTCACGGTCGCAGGATGTAGCCTCACTCCGTGCAAGTCGGTATGATTCATAGCGCCGATCTGTTCTTTCCTTGAGCCATGTTCGATGCAGTCGATTTCGCTCCCTCAGTAAGTACATCAGCTGCTGATCCATCCAGGGTACATGGCAGCGGTGTGTTGGTTTACGGGCTTGGACTGGACAGTGGTCATCATATACACTATGGAATAGGTTTGTCCATTGCGACCACATTGCTTGCCTCGGTGACACTGTACAAATTGGCCATTGACAGGTCGTGCCAAAAAACGGTCGAAGTTGATGGCCTTGATGTTTCGGTAAGTTGAAGAGGAATGGGTCTGGGGGATGGAGGAATGACAGAGAAACTGCTGATGATGGCTGCATGGTCACTGAATGCTATCGGTAGAACTGTGGCGACATTGTTGGGTTCAAAAGTATTGAAAATAAGGTCAATGGTGCTTGTGGATCCATTAGTTCCAAATCTGGTAGCCTGGCACACACCCTGATGCAGGCTATAGCTGCTGGTCAGGTCTCGCAGATGCTCAAGCTGTGGATCCGTCATGTGCACTGTATCCATGTTAACATTGAAGTCTCCACAGATAACAGTGTTTACACCAGGCTTGACAGCTGCATGCAGCAATGATTCTACACCGTGCCAGTAACTCACTGGTTCTGATGGTGGGCGATAGATAGTTCCAACCAGACAACTTGTTGGCTTACACAAGATCTCTCCCCAGAAACTTTCAACACCATCCACAGTGATATTTAGTCGAGGACGAAGAGGTATGGTGGACTTGTAATACAAGCATACACCACCACCAAGTTGGTTCTGGCGATCATTGCACAGGATGCAGTATCCACTGATGGCAATTTCACCATCAGATATTGTGCTATCAAGCCAAGTTTCGTTCAGGCAGATGACATCAGGATTGTGTTGGTGGACTAGCCGAGATACGTGTGTAATCTTGTTACGAAGACTCCTGATGTTTAGGAGCATGACTGTCAGTTTATGCGGCTGGGAACGAAGAGGTGGGATAGAAAGGGCGAGCAAGGGGATTGAGGCGCATGCACCCAGTGCTGGGGCGGGATGAAGTGGCGAATGGATTTAGCTGTTGGCCTGTTCCTCGTCTGTGGATATGGCATCTTCGTTAGTCCAGCCCATGTTGTCGGACTTAAACCTCCATGGTCGCACACGGATTTTTGCTGGCCAGAAATCCTTCTGCTCAACCTTGGAACTTCCCATGAACATGAACAAACACAGTCATTATTTTGGTAGTGACGGAATGAATATTCTAATCATTCAGTACTATAGAATACTGAAAATAGGAAGAATACTTTCGAAAGCAGTCAAATACTGTAATTTCACAAATTTTCGGTGTACTTTTATTTTCGGTACTTTCGGTGCGTCTGTTTCATACCTAAAATTTCAATACACCAAACAAACACTAACACACATAATCCAATAGGGAACTGCTTCTCTGTGCCGAAAATTTCTGTTCACCTAACCTGGCCTGTTGCCCTCATACCGAAAATATTGAGCACCGAAAATGTCTGAAGTTAGAGTATTCGATTATGTGAACATCTGTACATATAATTGTACGGCCTAGTTGCAACTTCGATCTGAGCTGTACTGAGCAACTTTAAGATCCTAAAGCAGATGAATAGATGGAATGCAAAATCCGCTAAATCCATTTGATCACTTTTTGGATAATGGCCGAAGAAGGATTCATCTTTCTATGTGTAGTGGTTTGTATCTAAATCCATGTTTGGCTGTCTAAGCTGGCTGACACTGTCTGCACGTTTGTTACAGGCAAGCGGTGAGCACTGAAGGCAGCTGTCTGCTTGTCACGTGGCTCTGGTCACCGCTGGACGGCGTGACGTTTGATTCGCAGCAGTGCAGCAAGCGAGCGCGCCAGAGGGCCAAGCTCGACAAGAAGAGGGCCAAGTGCGAGAAGAACACGCCGGGAGCAGCAGCATGTTCTGACGGCAGAGAGCACTCGCTTGCAGGCGCATCGCCGGTCCTACTCATGTCGTGAGTTGTATCCGCTATCAACTTTCTACAGTGAAATTTCCAGTATAAACATATATCCAAGGGACATGAAAATCAGTGCACTCATACCTCAGTTATCCGGACACCAAACTTCACGGGCACGTTGGTCTACCTGGCACCATTTGGGCGGGCTTTTGTGGAAATATTACTGCTCTTTTGTTACTTGTAGTGGAAGTAGCAGTGACATCACATGCAATATCTCCGAGGCTGGCCTCAGTTTCCCCGTCAAAACGGACATGTGTGTGATTTAGAGTTAGGGACATTTCAAAGTTACGGGAAGTGCCCGGTCCCGGACCGCCCGAATAAACGAGTCTGGTATGAGTGTACGTGATTACTGAAGTACTAGTACTCTATAATTATATCAAAGGTCAAATGAGTGGAAAAGTATACACACCGTCCCCCAAAGGAACACTACCTACCGTGTTTTTCCGGTTGTAAGTCGACCTTTTACGACTAAAAGTAGGAGAAAGGGTGGGGGTCGACTTACAACCGGGATTCGACTTATAACCGGGAACTATCAGTATCTTACAAAAAATGACCTGCACTGCATGCACGAGTGCACCATGTGTACACATTTTTGCCAGTTTATTGGCCTTTTTCAAGGATTGGGACGTTATACCCTCCAATAAGGAATGTTTACATGATTTGTTGATGTGTTAGTAGCAGGGAGTGGTTAGTAGTGCTTCGTCGGGTGAAAACTATAAAAAGCAGACTTGAAACCTCCAGATACGGGGTCGACCTACATGTATAACCGGGATCGACTTACAACCGGTAAGATACGGTATACCCAATACAAAGAGAAACCGGGCCAATGTTATATCCTAATATCGATGAAAGTAAAGTTAGCGCACTCATACCACGAGAACAATGAACAATATTTTGAGATTTGAACGTCGAGGTACCTTTACTTTCTTCGATATTAGGTTTCTTGTCCGTCCACGCCGCCTTTTCAATGTTATATCCGGAGCACTTAAGTCTTTATACTGAAGTTTCACTCTACATGTATTTGCATTAGTGGGAGTGGGAGAATGACGTATCAGATTCTGTTGTCTATGTGCACCATGCCATTCTATTACATGTTGCTTAATTCTCACAGAATATGTTTAAAATGTGATATGGGTGCAAAGGACTTGACTGCTGTATGCAGACCGGTCGACCGTTGCTCGGTTTATCCGATTCCGTCTTCTGTGGCTGTTAGTGTTATTTTTGATATCGGCATTGATCTTGTGTTTGGTGTGCCCACTGTCGTAGACACTATCTGAAATCCACCGCATGCTCAGCGGCTGCTCATGACCCAGACTTTGTGCAACTGCTCGAGACACACTTCAAGCAGCTGGCCAGCAATGATGAATTGCAAAAAGCAGCCAAGTCGTGCCACGACGCACTTCTGGAAACAGACCCGATGGATTGCAATTCAAAGCAATCACTGGCAGCCATACAGAAGTTGGCCAAGCAATTTGTGAGGCATAGAATTTTCTCCCCTTCTGACGACTACGTAACATCATCCATGTGCAGATCCAGCATTGGAGGCAAAGGCTCGAAAATTGTGCATGCCATCCAACAAGATGCTCCCGCAAAGGTGTCCTTCTTTGAAAAAAATACTCGTGTACAGGCAGTGGAAATACGTGACGGGCCAACATCACCAAAGGAGTTTTTCTCACAGTACGCACACCCCAGTGGTCAGGCCCGGCCTGTCATTCTCAAGGGACTGGCCAGAGCCCAACCTGCATACCAGCAGTGGCGGGATGCTTACCTGGTCAGGAAAATCTCCAGGCCAGAGAAGAAGTTGACGTCAGATGAAGTGCTGAACAGGATATCCGACCTGCTGGAGTCGGCTGGCTCTGGGTTGAATGGCGTTCTGCCTAGAGCGCTATGGGGTGAGTGCTACCTGTTTAGTCCATCATTGTCGTGCTTATACCAGAGATAACCGTATGCCGAAAATATCCATTCATTCAGGAGCAGGGGCGTACATAGGGCGGTTCCCGGGATGCCCGGGAACCAGTAAAAAAAATTCGATATTAGTACGGATATTTTTGATCCAGCCTTTTCAGGCCCTGCGCTCACAGTGCAAGTAAGTGCATGCAGCTGTGCAGTGCATGCCTAGCGCCTGGAGTCCGCGCCTGATGGCCAGACGGTCCGAGGTCGAGGATGGTGACATGACTAGCCCAGGTGTGAAAGCGGTGCTGGGACACAGCCTACTGAGCTGGGTTCAACAAAGTCTCTACATCGCCTCGATCTCCGAGTCGAATTTTCTGTTGCAGTTTGTTTTGACAAAGTTCGTCGTGTTTTGGACGATGCTTTCGCTTTGTGGAAAGGAAAAATGAAGCGTCGACATCCAGAGGGCCAGCGCTCTATTCAGAGCTATTTTGAGCAGCAGGCAAAGAGTGTAGCCAGTGCTAGTGGCGAAGGTCAAGAGATAGGTGAGAATGCAGACCGCGGCACCTGACTTGCAAGCGAAGACTGCATGCAACGAGCAGCGCTGAGGAAGAAATCGTCGGCGAAGCTGTAGAGCGACCGTTGTTGGAAGCTGCTCGATCATCCAAAACTTACTTCAGTGACATGGGAGTGTGTTGGAAGGGATATTCTGAAAGTCGACGTCTACAATGGAATCCAGTCCCCCGACATTTGCCGGACACGGAAAAGATTTCCGTCATCGACAATCATTGTGCGCCACCGAAGGCGAAGGATTTCATTTCCTGTGCGTGTCCAGATGGATGGCAAACAGCGCCACTTTCAACTATCCTTGTTAGAGGAATTACCCTGGGTAGTCTTTTGACAGGCATGCAATGGTGGCTTCTGCTTGCCCTGTGTGATGTTTGCTCCAGATGATTCGAAACTTAGGCAGCTTTCAAGACTGCATGCAATCGTCATGCTGAACAAAACATCCATAAAACGGGGAAAGGTTCAGTCTTTTAAAATCAAAAATGCGTAGCAATGACATCGTCCAGCAGCTTGTGGATGTTAATTTCACCCAGTCTGAGGAGAATGTGCAGAAACTCCGCGGGATACGAAAACAGCACTTCAATTGTGTGGAATGTTGGTTCATCAGTTGGCATGGGAACCACTCCTGGAGGCGAGCGGCGTACGCCCCTGAGGAGCTTGCATTCCCAATGGGAGATGTTCGTAGTTGTTGATATTGTTGATATGCAAAATGTACTTTTTTAGCCCTACTTGTAATGAGACAAAGCACTGCTTGCAGACACCAGCATGAACAGTCCACCAGCAACCCTTCATGGTAGCAAATCGCTCTTGACAGTGCCTGCTATAATACCGGTAATTCCGTTCCGCCAGATAATGATGATGGCACTGTTGATGGCTTTCACTGGCATTGGTTGTGTGTACTCTGGTTTGCAGGTGATATCCACATTCCACAGCCACTGTGTAATGGTCAGGTGTTGCAACGCATGGGTGGGTGCTCTATGAGAACTGCAGTGAAGCTGGCACTGACTATAATGGATGACTTGCATTACGAGATGGGTGATATGCTGCAATGCCAGCTGGACGGCTACGCCAGATATGTCCTCATGGAGCCGGTAAGAAGGGGTGCCTGTGTATGGTATCTTGCAGTGCTGCGCCCTGCTTTCAGGCTAGGCTAATTTGAATCCTTTGAAATACTGATCATTGCAGGGTGGTGGCGTTCCTAGGGATGCTGAAAACTCAGTCTACCTGAGTCTCAAGGGAATCATGAATTATTTTTAAAGTACTGATTGCGGGCTATGCATGTTTGCAAAAGCTGTAGTTGCTCGTCTGCTCAAGGTAGGCACGGCTGAAGGGAGGAATGGCGTCCAATGGGATCAGCTTGTAGGGCAGCCATGCATGATCATGTAGCATGTTACTTTCAATTAGGGTTCGTTGTAGAATGCTCAGAACACACTCTCACAAACAAAATACGCAAGAATCTTCACCACGCACAGATGGACACGTTCAGTGTTGACAGAAAACCAACTTCAACTCTCACCACTACAACGTATAAAGCAAGAACACAAGAATGGAATACACTTCCAAGAGAAACACACACCAAGCGAACTGCAAAGCAAAAGACACAACTGCTCGACAAAGCCAGACCAATAAAACCGAAACACGCAGTACCACAAGCCTCCACGTGCGCAGCGCGGGAATCTGGAGTGATTTGCATCGGTCACGCGGCACGTGCAGCCACACAGGTGCGGGCATGTTAAACACGCATGCAAGCAATGCATGAAAGGTGCCAGTGACATGGGTGGAACAGTGAACTAAACGTAACATACCTCCCTCATGAGCGAACCTAGAACTATGAGCGAATAAGATAAGTAGAACCATGGACACTGGTTAGATATGATTACTGTGAAGTACGACACATGGACATAATTATTGAGAGGCTAAACTAACGACAGCGAGAAAACAGTGGTATTGAAGTCATGCAACCAGTACGCTTGACAGGATACTATGAATGGTACTGTTATTCAAACTCAGGCAGATCCACTGCAGCTGTACCTGCCATCTTCTAACCGGTCGGAGCCACATCTAGCGGCACAAGCTAGTGAAAGCTTCTCTTGTAGACTTTGCCGCTCACCTTGATGTCGACCACACGGACACGTCCATCTCTGCCGGGGTATGTGGCTACTACTCGGCCCAATGACCAACATGCGCGGGGTAGCGAGGAGTCAGCAACGATCAGTACTGTGCCAACGTCGAGATCGACGGCATCTTTAAGCCACTTCGTGGCGAGGTTGGCACATGCAACAACCTCCCTCATCCACCTCTTCCAGATCTGCTGCATGAGGTTCTGTAGAACTTTCCACCGATATCGGGGGTTGATGCGGCTGTCAGACTCCACGTGTTCCAGGGGCGTTGTCATTGATGCATGGCCAATCAGGAAGTGCGCGGGTGTTGGCGGCTCGGGATCATCTATGTCGTCGGAAACGACTGTCAAGGGACGCGAGTTCACTAGGGCTTCTGCCTGAACGAGAGCAGTTAACAGCTCCTCCTCCGTCAAGTCTGCCTTATAGAGGACCGTCTGAAGAACCTGTTTCATGGCGCGCACCATCCGTTCAAACACCCCTCCGAAATGCGGGGAACGTGGAGGGTTGAACCGCCATTCCACTCCTTGGCCGGCTAAGTCAGCGGTTAGCGTGGCATGATTGATCTGCGACACTGCCTCCCTCAGTTCGCGCTCCGTGGCGACAAAGTTGCCGCCATTGTCGGTGAGGATGAACTGAGGTGTTCCGCGACGACAGCAAAACCGAGTGAGAGCCATCTTGAAACCCTCAGTGTCCAGGGATGTTACCATCTCAAAATGGCATGCTCTAGACTACAGACATGTAAAGACCGCCACATAGCGCTTCTCCTGACTCTTTCCACGCCCTCTCTTGACATAGAAGGGTCCTGCATAGTCGACCGCCGTCCGAGCGAATGCTGGTAGAGTGCCCTGGGTACGGTAATCTGGTAGTTGACCCATCGGTGGCACTACAGGCTTCCGCCACACCTTCTGGCATCCTACGCAGCTATGCCTGTGCATCTTGACCATCTGCTTTCCCTTTATCAACCAGTAGTGATCTGCGAGGTTGGCCAGGAGGTGATTAGTACCCACGCTGTGTCAACAGCGCCGGTCTTCATGCTGGATGATGAGTTCCATCACGCGATGACGTGGTGGAAGGATGACCGGTGAACGGAACTCCGATGACAAATGATGCGCGGTTCGGAGTCGACCTCCGATGCGCAACAGCCGATCTCCATTTTCGTCATCTAGGAACGGCCGAAGCTTCAGAAGCGGCGCACTAGGTGGCAGCTCGTTACCCTTCTCCAGGGTCGCAACAACAACAGGATAGACTTCTCGTTGACTGACACAAATCCAGTGGCGCTCCGCACCCCGTAACTCTTCTGCCGACAGTTCGGGCACCAGCACGGTACAGGACTCGGCGGTGGCCACAGGGACCTTGGCCTCAGTTAGTAGGGCATCCGATTCCTTGGTGCGACGAGCCCTGGGAACGAAACGATGACACCACGCGATGACACGAACGAGCCTCGTCCATGACGAATAGTGCTCGGGGTGGAGCCGATTGTCTGTTGTCGCGGCCGGAGTAGCTGCAAGCGTGACGTCAGCTCGCTTCAGTTGACTTGGTAGCACCTGTGGCACGATAGTCTACCTCTGCGGCCACTGCGAAGGTGGCTCCCGCAGAAATGGTGCACCTTCCCACCACCTCGACTAGCTGCTCTGTCGTTAGTCCGCGTGTAGGAAAGTCCGCAGGGTTGAGCTTGCCGGGGACGTGGTGCCAGTTGCCGGTCATGGTCAGCTGCTGGATTTCGGAAACGCGATTCCCGACCTCTATCTTGAACATACGGCTGGGCGACCTGACCCAATACAGCACGTTCATCGAGTCCGTCCAGTAGTAGACATCAGATGTCGCAATGCCGAGGGTCTTGCGAACAAACTCACCCAGCCGCGAGCCCAGGACAGCTCCTTGCAGTTCTAGTAGCGGGATGGTACGGCGCTTGATCGGCGCAGGTCTGGCCTTGGCGATTGCAAGAGTCACGGTTGCGGTTCCGTCGGCGTTGCTGACCCGTACATACACTGCTGTTGCGTATGCCAGCTCTGATGCATCGGTGAACACATGGATTGTGACATCATTGGTTGCTCCAGCTTCCCTGAAATACCGTCTGATCCTTAGCGCGGACAACTGCTCAAACTCACCGAACCATTTGAGCCATGACTCACGTTGGTGAACGGTCAGTGTGTCGTCCCATCCGTTTCCGGCAAGGCACGGCTCCTGGAACATGATCTTGCTGCGAATCGTAAACGGTGCAATCTGGCCTCTGGGATCAAATAGTGAGGCCATGCAGCTGAGAACGCCACGTTTGGTAAGCGTGACAGGGGCTGGATTCCGGCAGTGGAAAGTGAAGTAGTCATCAGCGATCATCCACGAGACTCCCAGAGCATTCTGCATTGCCTTGCCGGACCCATCCTGCTCAGTGAAGGTCTTCGCGATGTCCAATGCTCGGTCTTCTTCAGGAATGGACTGCATGACCACCGGGCTATTCGACATCCACTTGCGTAGGTGAAAGCCGCCCATACTTTAGCAGACGTTGGAGCTGGTCCTGTACCCGGATCGCCTGTTGCTCAGTTGGTAGCGACTTCAGCATGTCGTCTACGTAGAAGGACTGGCGGATGGTGCTACACGTCTCCGTGTCGAACTGATCGCCAGACTTCTCAGCCGTCTCTAGAAGAGCCCGTCCGGCCAGGTATGGCGACGCCTTAATGCCGAAGGCGAGGCGAGTGAACTCGAACTCACGTATATCGTCATCCACGAACCATAGGAAGCGGTGGTAGCGCCGGTCCTCAGGTCTCAGGCCGACCTGCAGAAACATCTCCGAAATGTCGGCGATCAGTGCGATGGGGTGCTCACAGAAACGGATGAGGACCTTCACAAGGTCGTTCTGGAGCTTGGGCCCTGCCAGCATGCGGTCATTAGTGCTGCTTCCATTGAACTGAGCAGCAGCGTCGAAGACGACACGGACTTTGGTGGTGGCCTTGTCCTCTCGCACGACAGGGAAGTGAGGAAGAAGCCACTCGTCTGTAGCACCGCTGCATTCTTCCTGTGCTGTCAGCATCCTGATGTACGACTTGTGAAGGTAGTCCTCCAGTACCTTGGCGTAGCGGACTTGTACGTCAGGCCGTCGCTGCAGGGAACGTACCAAGGATCTGAGTCGACACTCAGCTTGAACTCGATTGCTCTTGACCCCAGGCGGCTCCTCTGTCTTCCACGGGATGGCGACCTCGAAGCGCCCATTTACATGACGGATGTACTGGCGGGTGTTACTCTCAGCTTGGCGCTCATCCGGTGTCAAGTACTCATCTGATGATGTCTCCATCCCGACTGATTCAAGTTCCCAGAACTTCTTCACCAGTGTGTCCAGTCCTGAGCGCGTTGCCTCTGCGGCACGGAAAGTGCTGTGACTGCTGGGGCCTTCGGAGTATATGCTGGGACCAAAGCACATCCAGCCGAGAAGCGTTCGTCTGGCGATGGGATCGCCGTCGTTGCCAACTCGCTCCTCCTGCGCGACGTGAAGTACAGCGGCATTCAAGCCGACGAGTATGTCAACCTTGGCGTGAGCTACAGTTGCAAACTCAATGTCGGATAGGTGTGGCCACTGGCTCCGCACGGCATTCCAATTGGTGATAGGGAGCTCGCTCGTGATCTTGGGCATCACATAGGCCTCCAGTTGAGTAGTGGCCTTGCTATCATGGTGGCAAAGGTGCAGCTTCACGACGCGCCGTCGGCCGCGCAGAACCTTGCCGCCGAGTACGGTCACACTCACGTCCTTGCCGTTACCTTGAAGATGTAGTCGCCTTGCGAGCTGCTCTGACACATAGCTGCAGCTCGAGCCAGAGTCCAGTAGCACATTCGCCATGGCGGAATGTGCCCCGTTTATGACCTGCACAGGAACTGTCATAAATGATGTTGACCCGCTTGCGCCGTCTTCGGTCATTGGCAACCCTCCAGCCGAGTCGGTTCCATGATGTGTGGTCTCTTCTGTGGATTGTGGCGCCCTCTCC